GGGTCGGAAGCGACACCGTTACCCTATCCCCTTCACGCGCCTCTGTAGGTTTTCCGTAGACCCCTACCGGAGTTTCGCAGAGGTTTGAACCTGGAAACGTACAGGCTCCCGTCCCCGAACTGGACCGGGCTTGCTGGACCGGAACAACTTGAGTACCAGGGAGGCCTGCAGCCGAGGCTGCAAGCGAAGTGGCAGTGCTACGACGCCTACGCTCGCGCTCGCAGCCCCAGCGAGAAGAAGATCAGGGTTCCACGAACTTAATAGGTTAAAGAGTTGTTAGAGTGTCTACACCTTAAGGCTTTAAAGATTCGGATAGGGTTTTCGGAGACGTTTTCATCCAGCGAGGCCCGAAGATAGTGACAGCAGCAGAGAAGAATAGAATAGAATACAATGTGAGAGAATCTTATACATTCTGGCGTAACCGACATCGAATCTCGTCGAATCTAATCTAATCTGGTCTAATCTAATCTCATGAAATCTAGTCTAGCCCAAGCTAACTTGAGCTTGTCTCATCTAACCGAATCTGCCGAGCATAACCGAATATCAAGAGCAAGATCAACACAAAGACAAGGCCCAAAAGGGATGAACGTCCGAAAAGAGCACTGGCGCCATGAGTTCTTCGAAGATGGAGATTGCAGAAACCCAAAGGTCTCCATGTCGCTTGGCGTGAACCACATCTGCATGACGATGTCCTACTACGTGATCGGTTCGGACCTCAGGCGGTGCAGCTGTGCAGAACTCTTCGAGTTCTGCAAGCGCGCTGTGGCGAATGATTTATCATGTACTCTGGCCGATGCTGAGGAACATAGGCTTACATAGAGGAGGTTGCCATGCCTTTCGAGGCGTGTGCAATGCTTCGCACCGCTTCGCATGTACCCAGGCCTCACGGTGCTGGAGTACCGGTCGCCGAGATCTGAGCGGTATTTGCTCCAAAGATGTCCGAAGGTTTCCCTGCAAAGGATGTGAGGATTTCGGGTCTCGGCTCCAGTCTTTTGAACAACTTTGGGCCTCCCCGAGCCCCGAAGCCGAGGCCGTCCATCATGTTTGCCCTGGTCCTGGTCTTCCAGCGCCGCTCTCGGAGCGGTCGGAGGTAAGAAGCTGGCCTATCAAATCTATCTGGTGACCCCTAAGCCTTTTTTCAGTACAGGGCTGGAGCACAGGTCTTGAACTTACCAGAAACAAGCCCCAGCCTTCGAGCCCTAGCAATCCAGGGCACTTGGTATGGAGACGACACGAGATGATGTTTCGTGAACTCCCCAAGCCCCAGTGGTGAAACCGTTATACATCTTTCGCTGCAGAGTGCTTTTCGCGCCGCTCCCTACCTGACAGCCCAAAGCTTCGACGAAACCCCTCCCGGCCCTGCATGCTCCAAGTACCTCAACAGTCGTGAACCCAAAGCCCTAAACTTCATGAAAAACGCGTGCAACATCTGGACCATTCTGTTTGCATTAGTGGAGCAAACGCGTTCATGTAAACGCAGCGAGAGCTGCAGGACTGGTTGATCTCTTCTGCTGAGCCCTAATTTCCATGCATGCCTGCATGATTGCTCAACTGCAGCATTGCTCAAGTGATACACAGACTGCGCAAATTGCGTTTCCATTTCATGAAGCCTGTCGCAGCAAAGCTTGCGCTCGTGGTGTCCTGCTTTCATCTACTGGCCGCAGTGAGGCCCAGCGGTGAGGTTCTGACGCAGGGCTTTGGGCCTGGGATCCCAAAATGCCCCACAGCGCGTCCTGCATCAATGTCAGGCCAAACATTCCTGCTGAACATGGGAGATTTTGAGAACATTTCGATCTACCAAGATTGGATGCTGTCAGAGTCCGCAGATTGTAGCAACCGCGTTGGAGCAGCAGTTCTGGATCCTGAGGTGAATCACACGAACCCATCTGAAAGTTCAGAGCTTTGGCTGAATATCCTGCATGTTCAACCTGACGTCAGTACGGTGTTTCTATGCAGCCAAAGGAAACATCATCAGACAGAGCAGACAGTTCCGTGCTTGGCCAAGTTGAATTTGAAGCAGAGACGGGTGACGTTGGTGGATATGTTGCAGCCTTTTTTGCGTCCTTTTTTGAATGAAAGGGTGTTGAGAGGTTTCCAATCCTTGGCATATTACCAGCAGTACATGTTTGAGGCATTTTTGCTTGCAGGGCTCTTGATGTTGGCCGCCTTGGCAGTCTGGTCTTCCTATCTGTTCTTCAGTGCCAAGGCAGAGGGTTCGCGCTTTGTATTCATCGAGAGTAGTAGCTCTAAAGGTGGCATGATCTTGCCATCCCCGGTTGATACAGTGCTCCTGTCGTTGAAGAGTTCGTCTCTCTTTGTGGCCGGCTGTGGCCTATTCATGGCTCAGGGGTGCTTCTTCTTCGAGAAACATGATGATGCAACCAGAGTTGGCTACGTACTGATTTTAGTTTTTCCACTCGTTTTTGGGAGTGCCGCCTTGCTCCGCATCTCCATCTCAGCTGCACGCTGCCGGGTCTACTTCCAGGCTCTCAGAGATGGGACGCTGGTGACATACAAGACCGGCCTGTGGCGCAGTCATTTGTTGATTTGGTTTTGGACAGGCGCAGTGCTCTGCATGGGCAGCGCAGCCCGTGTTTTGTGGCAGCAGGGTTCGTTCAATCGCACTGGAGTGCTGCAGTTGGCTCTTCTTGCATCTCCGCTGTATTATATGTCCTCCAGCATATGGAACACTTTGGCTGCTGAAGCTACTGTGCTCAAAGGTCATTGCATGATGGCCTTGGGACGTGAAGAGAGCAAAGCTGAGTTGAAGCCGATGGAAGAGTCCGCGCTAATATGTGCAGCTAGGGGTGAAGCCTCAGGAACTCCGGCTGCTGAGTTTGGAATTCGTGATTTGGGCTGGGTCGGGCCTTACGCGGCCAAGGACTATTTTGGTTTTCAGAAGCTTGTGCTTCAATTCTTTCAGCCAATAATGCTTGTCATGCTGTTGGGCTTGGCGTTTCTCACCTGGAAACATGTACTGCTCACATTTGCAATTCAGCCCGAGTTAAAAGACATTATGGTGCAGGGGGGCAACCTCACATCTCAGCATTTCTTTCCGGAGAAGACACGCTACGGAGTTGTTGTGCACACCACGAAGCCTGACTTCACCCTGGTAGCGCTATTGGATCAACAAGATCCCAACACGATGCAGTTGTCCCAGAGAAAAGTGGATGCAAAGTACGAAGTCCTGCAGCATACTGCCGGAGACCAGCTGGAACAACTTGTCAATATGAACACCGATCGGTATCCCGTGGACATAAAAGTCCAAGTAAACGACACAAGCAGCTCCGTCGATTACAGTCTACAGATGTTCAAGTTCGATGTGGTGCCTGAATCAATCACAGCCGCGGGCACTACAGTTAGCGGGGAAGATTTTCGGACATGTGTTTCTTGGGATGTGTTGTGCCGGCATCCTACAATCTACCTGCCATCTGATCTGACATCCCTTTCCCTTAACGTCTCTGTTTTGCACTTCATTATGGACGTGCCACAGAAGCATCGGCGGGAGGCTGCGTACACCGTGCAATTTGCTCCAAACTTGACTTGTCGGACGCTTGACTTTAGAAAACGTGGCTGGGTAGCCGTACAACAGACCCAAGCAGGCTGCTACTATGTCTCCCCACCATTTGCAGACAAGTGTGGCATGTCCGATCATGAGGACATTGATTTCTTCCTCCGCAGCCGGAACCTCAGTCTGGAATGGACTTTCTGGGCAAGATCTGACAACGACAAAGCTGACAATGACACAGTCCCGATCGTGAAGACCACATCTACATCACAAGTGTCCTTGCCACTTGATCTTCCGTCAGCGGACTCCAGGTGGGATCGTCGAAAGTGGTTGTATAAGACGGCTTGCTCCCATGGTCGTGTAGAATTTGCTCCCCCCTCCCCCTCCCATGGCCTGTTAGGGCTTCGGAAGCAAAGGATGCCGTAACCCATATGTCCATGCTTGCAAATATTACAGCTTCAATTCCGAAGAAGAAACCCACAGGAGCCGGACGCCCTGGAGTCATGAAGCTGTTGGCCTCCCAACCCTTCCGAAGTATGGGACTTGCGGAGCAATTTCTCAAAAAAGTCCAACTCACCGGGCCATTCGAGACCATCCATTGAATTGAAATGCTCCTTTCCGCTGGCCAATTCATCGGGAACGGCTAACAAGTCATTCCTTACGAAGAAAAGCGGGGAATTCTGGGAATTACCAGGTAATCCTGCTATTGCTCCTCTTAAGTCGAATTCCTCTTAAGGGGTTTAGGGTTTGGGGCTGAGGGTTTAGGGTGTCGGTATCCAGTTCCAAGATCTTTAGGCCATTGTAGGCATTTTAGGCCTGTAGGGTTTGGGGTGTAGGCTTTTTCGGGTTTGACGTTTCCTATTTGGGTGTAGCATCTGCATCAAACTTCCTCTTTAGGCTCTTTATTGTGCTTCTGCTTCCGGAACAGTCCGTATTCGGGAATAGTTCTCTGTTGCACCCGCAGGGAATTCGGAAGACTACGGTTTCAGAGTAGCAGATGTCTATGTGTAACTCCCACGAGGTAGCTGCGTTCTTCTGTCTTGTAGTACTCCTTGACACCTTGAAAACGACACGCAACTAAGGCGAGGTGTATACGAAGCCTGTCGTAAGAAACTACCAAACACGTAGTACCGTCTCGGAAGTTTTCGGGTAAGATTCCTCTTTGAAGTTCAGAAGGAAGGATTCAGAACTATATTTTACAAGACAATGATATTGCAAGGGTTTTAGCATACTTGAATTCAAAAGGCTTGCGAAGGACAACTCCGTCCGATCATGGTGCTTGACTAAATTCCGTACTAGGAATATCGCAAGTGCGGAAGTTTCAACAGGTTTCAATACCAAAACGCTGTGTAAGAAGCATTTAGCAAAGGTATAGAAATGGTATTATGCATTGCAGTAGTAAGGATGACTATAGGATAGTGAGAGTTTCATGAGAGCACAACGAATAGAAGGTGGCATAAATTCAGAACCACTTGAGATAATGCCAAGGAAATCCTGGCAGGTATGATAGTCAGTTTGATCAGCTGCTGAACAAGACGGCTTGACAAGAACTGCGTAGCACTTCCTATAGCAATCATGAGTGTTTCACTGACTTGCTACTTGGTTGGAATTGGCGAGCCAAGGGCCTGAAACTGCTATGCTCAGAAATTTTGAGCACGTTGAAACGGTCTTTGCTTTGCAAAATTTTGGGCCATCCCCAGTTTTGTTAAATTTGAAGTCAAGAGCCACGCCCTAGGGCCAGTAGCTTGGAGAAACGGAAAATGCAATGCTACTGAGCGTAGCAGGATTTCGGGATGCTCAGGGTCAACATGTTCAGAAAAGAAAAAATCGAGTTAGGAATCTGTAGGGTGGAAATTCTCCGAGGAAAAATAATCTGCATACCCGCGTTTTGAAATGCAAGAGCCTTGGCCCCGCAGTTTAAACGCAGAAGAGATTTTCAAACCTTGCTTCGGAGCACAGCAGGGTTCGGGTTTGGGCCTCTACTGTTGAGGGCAATACTTTCGAAACACAGCGGCGAGCATAACAGCGTTTGGGGCTCTTCAGGCCCCCAAAATCTTTAAAAAGCTGAGCATGACAGGGTTTCAGATTTCTGGTGGTTCTCAGAGGTTACAGAAAATAATGTGTTGAAGAGAACAACATCTTTCAAGAAGAGCCATGGACGTGGGGGGAGAGGTGAAGAGGGAGGCCGGGAAGGGGGACCGGGAAAAAGGGGGCGAAAAGAGCGCGGGTGAAGAGGGAAGGGGACTAGGGTGGGGAGGGGGACAAGTTGCTGGCCAGCCGACCATGCTGTTTAAGTTCCGGGTAGAAGATGCGGATGTGCTATGCAATGTAAAAAAGTGGAAAACTTAGATCGCTTCTCCACCCCCTTATACTCCCTATCAAATTACCTGTATTCATGGGCCCCCAACCTCTGTCTCACTATTTAAGTGTCTACATTAGCTGCTGCTGCCTGCCATTCGAGCCGTGCTGTGGCTGCCTGCCAGGGAGGGGTTCTATTGTGGGGTGATGTTCGCACTACTGCACAAATCCTACCACATTCTGTTTGGTGTGTTTTCGCGAAACACATTGCTGTAATTTTCTATCACAACAGGCGAGGGGATATTCTCCTCGAGATGGACGTGACCATGTTCTTTGATCGATTCGACCAGTTTCCGGTGCTTGGCAAAACCACCCCGTATGCCCCGCCGAATGCAGAGATCCGTCTTCACTTGGGTGCGCCAGCGTTGGACGACCTCTATTCAATTAAGGCCTTCTGTCCGGGTGTAGACCTGTCGATTCGGAAACAGACAACCAGGTTTGAAGACTCTGACAAACAGTGGGTAGTGTTGATCCGAGATTCCAAAAAGTTCATGGAGGCCGCAGTCTTGACCCTCTTTGTGGTATCAGAGTATGCTGAGTGTTCTATCACTTCCTTGGAGACCGCTGCTTCAGGACTTCTGCATAATTTGCAACCCAAGAGTGTCCTGTACGATGATGCATTGCACACCCAGACGGCCAGCTTTGAATTTGACTTAGCTGCGTTCCGGGAGATTCTGACAAGGACACACGCCCAGTCCGTACAACTACTTGGGAGAACAAGCTGTACGTCCAGTTTTCACAATGTCAAAGGCCACTTGAGTATTGCCGTGTGGCTTTTGCCTGAGCCTCTAATTGCTGTGGTTCCGGAAGTGCGCGATGTGCCCCTGCAGTGGGATGTGTTTCCCTGCGTGCAACTTCCCCTCTGCAGTGTCGTACGCATAGCCAAACCTACAGGGGGTACCAGGATTCAAGATGTTTCAGCTTTGGCGTTGACTTTTCTGGACAAGGGCAATAGCTCATGTTCTGCCGAATGGATTCGGCTCAGTTCCCCTGACTTTGATTCCTTGGGAGAGCAGCTTCAGCCCACTTCTGGGCCGGAAGACTGCGTGGGAGAGATGAAGACTACGACGGTCTGTGGGGGAAATCATCCCTCGTCCTCTGTTCAACTCGGCCTGACATCAGGAACACGGCAGCTGGCTCTAGTAGCCAAGTTCCGCTGCGACACTTTCTTGAGTCCGAAGCTGAAGTACAAGGTGTATATAGCATGAGAAGGCTCAGGCCGACTCAAGCCTCATACTGGCTGCATCTGAGGCACAAAAGCTGCGTGGGGGCATTGGGTTTCGGATCGGGTTGAGAGGTGCAGAAGTTTGTGGAGTCTGAAGAGGCTCACAGACAAATGCTCAGGTTGGAGCGGAAGACACAACAATCAAAACAAACAAAACTGACCTCAAACCCTGAACCCTAAACTGCCTGACCGCTGGGGAGGGTTAAGGGAGAAAAGCCCTGAACCCAAGCCCAGACCCCAAACTCACAGGGCCACGAACCTGGCACTGGCATGGCTGGACGTGGCCGGCAAGGGGCCCGGCGTTGAGGGTGTTGGGAGAGTTTAGGGGCCTAGAATATTTTGGGTTTCCGTTTCGAGGGGTTTTGGTTTTATGAAATATCGGGGCCCCAGACTGGGCTGTAGGGTGGCCGGCATTTTCGATACGCTAAGGGCTTTCTTTCCTAAGCCTTTCGCCGCAAGCTCTAAACCGACAAGGGCGCTATCGAAAGAGCAGGACTCCAGAGTACCCCTGGGAAAATGGAAAGAAAGCCCTTTGCTCCAAAACTCTTTGCTGAACCGTAGCCGGGAGAGCCAAAAGATGGGTACAGGCCTGACATAGGGGCCGTAACGATTAGACTGAGGTCTTGGGTATCTAATACTTTAGTTATATATAAGAGACTATGCTTAGAGCCAAGAAGACCCCTGTACCACATCCGAGGTTGTCGGTCTTCTCGTGTGATAGTTTTCCGCTATGATGTGCCTAGACTTAAACCCCGAATCGGTTTCGCAGACCAAGGTCTTGTTCTGGAGTTTTGCTTCAGAGGTGCCGGTGTAGAACCCTGAAACCCTTAAAACCCCAACCCCCAAGCCCCTAAACCCCTAAAAACTCCCTAAGCCCCTGAACCCGAATCCTGAAGACGAAGTGCCAGGCCTCAGAAGGAAGACGATCTCGTCGCTGGAGCTTCTGGGCTCGGTGTCCGGGGCCGAGATTTCTTTCCAACAGCTCAGCCTTGTGCCGCGGACCCGGATGGCTCATTTCAGGGATCATTTGTGCAGGGTTGTCGACCGGCTTGGCTTGAAAGGTTGCATCAAATTTATCTTGCGCCTATGGTGTGTAGGCTTCTCGAGCATGCATTGCGCTGAGGGATTTCTGGCTGTGGACATCCTACGCCTCAGCAGTATCGGTTTGGGTCTGTAGGGAAAACCCCGGGCCGTGAACCGCAAGATTACCAAAACCCGGACCCGTAAATTGAACCCATTGCCACATCTGCCGCAAGTGAAACCAGCATCTTCAGGGTCACTGCTGCAGCATCCTCCTCCGCTCGTCGTCATTATCATCGTCATCTTCATTACCATCGTCACAGTCACCATCATCATCATATTCTTTATCATCATCGTCATCACCATCAGTCATTAGCATGATAATAATAATAATAATAATAATGATAATAATAAAAATAATAATATTCATCATCGTCACCACCACCACCACCACCATCATCATCATCATCACCATCACCTGCATCATCATCATCATCATCATCATCATCATCATGATCATGATCATCACCGTCATCATCACCATCACCAACATCATCAGCAATACCATCCTCCTCCTCCTCATCAACATCGTCATCATCATCATCATCATGATCATCATCATCATCATCATCATCTTCATCTTCATCATCTGCCGTCAGCATCAGCATCAACACCAACCAGATCAACATAGAAATTACCATCGACATCTACATCAACCCCATCGCCATCGTCGTCATCAGCATCTGATATCGCTATCTTCTTATCTCACCGCACCTCACGTTCGTCTCATCTCTTCTGCTCTCATTTCATCTCATCCGATCTCATGTGCTCTCATCTCATATTTCATCATGCCAGAATATCACGTAATTTCGTATCGAATGGGTTCATACCAATTCAGATGTGAGCAGAGCAGATCAGATCATCTCATCTCACAGCCGTTGTTACTTATTCCCATGGTTATCACCGTTCTCGTTACGTTTACATGAAAACCACGAAGCTGCCACCTGTCAATCCTGTCAAGGCCCCCTTTCATCGCTTGCTTTTCCATGGCCCGCCGCTCAGCATCTCTCGCGTTTCATATTCCGCCGGCTACGCTCTTTGAGCTTGTGCATGCTGTGTCATGCAGCCTTGGTGCTTTCCTGAAAAGAGAGAGAGGTTGTGAGGTGACATTCTTGCTCAAGGGTAAACTTGAGAAGTTTCGAAGCTCGACCCGTCAGTTTTCAGTTGTCAATTTGCCCATGGCGACAAGCGCCCCTTTGCTGGGAAAGCAGGGCAAGGCCGCCCACAGCAAGGCATCGATCTTCTATGGAGCGGACGAGTACCTTGAGGAGCTTATTTTTTTTTGGTAAACCCTAAACCCTAAACCCCCCCACAAAAAAAAACCTTGAGGAGCTTAAGAAGAAGTACGAACACGACCACGAAATTGCTGCGTTGAAGAATGCTCTGCCGGGCGAGGGGGATCCTAACGCGGCAGGCGTTGCTCAGAGCAACGACAAGATGCTCTCCGTTCAGAAGAATGCCGAGAACAGGAGCCTGAAGACCAATCGGCTCTTCCCGACTCCGAACAAGCCAGACCCAATGCCGCAGAACTTGGCATTCCTCTTCACCAAGATCACGCCGGACCGAAGGGGGATCATAGTTGTGGTTCACTGGTTCCATGTTGGGAAACACTTATTGATACTGAACATCAAAGAATTGTTGTTCGTGTTTTCCTTTTCATACTCTAGTTGAACATTGGGGGTGCGTGTTTAAGAAATATGATGAAGCGGATTCGAAAAATAATGGGGCGTGTTTAAGATACATGATGAACCGGAATCCCCAAATATGGGGCCTGCTGAAGATATATTATCAGATATATGATGAACCGGAATCGCCACATGACGGGGCATGTTTAACATATATGGTGAACCGGAATCGCCACCTGAGGGGGCGTGTTTAAGACATAAGATGAAACCGGAATTGCCACATGAGGGGGCGTGTTTAAGATATAGGATGAACCGCGATCGTCAATGAGGGGGCGCATTTAAGACTTAAGACATATGATGAATTGGATTCGCCAAATGAGGGGGCGTGTCTAAGATATATGATGAACCGGAATCGCCAAATGAGGGGGCGTTCAAGATATATGAATCGCCGGAATTGCCAAATGAGGGGGCGTGTTTAGGATATATGATGCACCGGAATCGCGAAACCGCGGACACGAAAAGGAGTAAACCGAGCCCTGAACCCTAAAAGGAGCAAGATAATTCTGAGGGAGACCCGAAACCCCAAAATGGAGTGAAACAACCATAAGAGACGCCCAGCTGTCAACCCAAGAACATTACACCGACGGACAGCCCCAATATAAATTTAGGCCAAAACTGTCCGAGGAGTAAGATGACCTTGAAAGAACCCCAAGCCGATAAAAAGATGCAGCTAACCCAGTGAGCAACCCACAAGCATGGCAGGTCCCGGCCACATGTTTGAAGTCCCTTCGAGATTGATCATGGCGCTTAGGTGAGACGCCGTGGCCCAACCGCAACATCGAGAGGGTTATCGTTCGCGATGGTGGAATGAGCACGGCGCCTATAAACGACAGCGATACGGGCACTTCGAAACGCCGACGGGGTCGTCGTTCACTTTGATTGATCATGGTGCCTAGATGACAGCGACAAGCCTACGTGGAATGAGCATGTGCTCTAGGATTTCGTGTTGTGTGGCGGTCCGGGGTCGGAGGGCCCCCATCCATGGTGCGGTTTTCGTGCGCTCTTGCGGCCTGTGTGGTGGCACTCTCGGGGCTCTCTGCGCGGCCCTTTCTGCGAGCGCGTCTGCTGCTTGATCTCGTGTCTGTGAGCGGCTGATAACCATGTCCCGTGCATCTGCAGAGCTGTGTGCCGTGGAACTTGGTGTGTTTTGTGGCGGCTAGAGCCTCCGACAAATGGAAATGCTTCATGACACCGTGTGTTGTAGAAGTGCGGGCGAAGAGCTCCGTTGCTGTTGCCGAACTGTGTTGTGGAGCCTCCCAGCAGTGAAAAGAAAGAGTCTGCATGAGTTTGAGCCGGGGTTCAATTTGACCACGTGCCGCGTGTTTTTTGGCAAAGATTGGCAAACGAGACTCGGAAGCTTGATGTCGGTTGTCTACCTAGAACTGTAACATAGGTGTACAGCGCCCGCGCGTCAGCTTGATGTGCAGCGTCTAAGCTTGTGTGCAGCGTCTGGCTAGTGCACATGATGAGCATGGAAACGCACCAGAGATGCCTTAAAGCATTGTTGATGAAGCGCGGAGCTGTGATGCATTCCGTCTGTAGAAAACACTTTTGTTTTTTGCACAGGACTTCACATGGCATGGCGTCGTTATTAAGATCCGGGACGTCATCTTTGCCAGCGACATAAAGCCATAGCTGTTGGGAAGAGCAGGCTACATCAACATCCATATCCGGAAGAGAGGACAAAGCCAGTGGCTCTGCGTCTGATCAGTAGTGCGACGAGAACAATGTTTTTTTTGCACTGGAGCGGTTGAGTCCGTGTGTGCGAACTCTTGCTGTGTTAGCTTTGTGCTCCTATCGTAGCATGGACGGAGAGTGTGTCTGTGTGTGACAGTCTCCATGCACCTAGAGTCCTGAGTCGTCGTGTGCAGGTCGTGCGTGCTTCTGTCTCTTTTTGCTGCCTACTCGTTTGTGGCTGCTGTTCTGGCTCGTCTCCTCGTGGCTTTCTGCGCAGTTACGTTTGCAACACGCAAGTGACAGATTTTGGGCTGACAGTGTGTTTAGGAGTTGCGTGTCACGTACAGTCATGGCGTGGCGGAGTGCGCAACATCATTTCGTCCGTTGCTGTTCTGGCTCCTTCCTCAGACTTACTACCGCGCAGTTACGTGTGCAAGACACGGCCCGCCGCACAAGCGCCGCATCCTTCCTTGTTGTGCCGCTTTCTTCTCTGCTTGCGAACGTGGCCGCCGTATATCAGGCTTGCTCCGACTTGTTTCCTGTGCGTCCTGTGAGATCTGCAGCTTTGCTTCCAGGCCATGCAACCTTTCTTTCCCCTGGCACATAAGAACAAAGGACACACAAGAGAACTCGAGGAAGACAAGACTGCAAACCGTAAGGGACGACAGGAAGTCGGCAAATGCAAAGGATGACCGACCTCCGCCGTGACCTCGACAGCGTAAAGGCAGCTGTCCGAGATGACAACGTCAGCGCCCTGACAGAATGCAAGACAGCACAGGCGGAAGACAAAGTGTGAGGCGAAGGACGGACCCTAGACTCCTAGACCCTTGACACTATGGCCTCGGTGCCAGGGGAAACACGCAGACCGCAAGGGCCGCCTCGCCAGGTCCCTGCTCCCTGTGTTGGTTCATCCAGCATGGGGTAAGGGATTCGGTGGTGGCTGGTTCTCGTGGCATTGGTGGGACCGCATGCCCGAGGGCATGAAAACAGCCGGTTGTTTGTTCAGGTGCCGTTCCTTCCCTCATCTGCACACACTTATTGCCACTGTCTCAGACTGAACAGCCAGTTGGCCATGCAGTGGTGTGCATGT